ACAAACCTCGTGTCATCTTACTGCTCTTCCAATGATATGATTTACAGAGAGCAGAAGGGAGCGAGAAAGGGATGTTGGGGGTGCAAGGATCAACTTCTTGTACAAAAAATGATTTTGGAAGAGGCTAAAGGATATCACCGCAACCTCTCCATGTGCTGGATTGACTACAAAAAAGCACACGACTCTGTTCCTCACGAATGGATTCTGAAGTCTCTTCATTGTATTGACCTCCCTGAGCGACTACTTGATTTACTCAAGTCTTTAATGAGTTGCTGACACAACTTGAGATGTACTCGCTAGGGCAGGTGCAGACTTCGGAATCTATTCCAATCAGAAGGGGAATATTTCAGGGGGTTTCCTTTAGTCCTTTGCTTTTTTGTCTGTCTTTAAATCCTTTGAGCTTTCTGCTCAATAAAGAGGAGGGTTACCATCCCGGACCTCCTCAGCACAGATCCCCAACACCTCTTACTCATCTCCTTTACATGGATGACATCGAGCTCCTTGCCAAAGGAGATTCCAATTTGAAAGAGCAGGTTCTCCTTGTCGAGTCCTTTTCTAATGATAAGGATATTGGCATGACATTTGGACTCGACAAATGTAATACTCTTCATTTGAAACGTGACAAGGTAACTAATGATGGATCGGTCAAGTTACAAGGGGGAGGAGTTATTCAGCAACTTGTGGAAGATCAGGCCTACACCTATCTTGGAATGCAAGTTCGAGATAAGCTCCAGAATGCCCAGATTCAAGACAAACCTATGGCCCAGTACAAATCTCGTTTAAAGAAAATCTGGAGCTCAGAGCTAAATGCTCGAAACAAGGTCAAAGCCACCAATACTTTTGTTGTGCCAGTCCTCTCCTATTCCTTTGGAGTAGTTGACTGGACGAAACAAGACATCCAGAGTCTTGACCGCCTGACCAGAAGGATCATGTCTGATAACAGAGCCCACCACCCTCGTTCCTCTCTTAACCGTTTATATATGCCAATCAATTCTGAAGGTCGGGGTTTGATTAATGTGGAGGCTCTTCATGACAGAATTTTATTGTGTACTTTTGCACATATTTATTTATCGGATGATCCTCTGGTGATGCATGTGAAGACTCATGATGAAAGCAAGGAATTCCACAGCTATTTTAAGCGTGCCAAGGTTGTTGGACAGAATCTGAAATTTGAGGTTGACTTTGCTGATGGCAATGTACTGCTGGACGGTACAGCGATGGGAGTAAACCAGGTGAAGTCCTTCACCAAGTCTGCCCAGAGTCGGTCTTTTGTGGAGAAGCTTTCTGAGAAGCCATTGCATCGTGTGTACATGCAGTGTGTTGAACAGAATAGCAATCCCACCGACTCCTTCGCCTGGATGAAGTCGGCTGGTCTTAAATGTGAAACTGAGGGCTTCCTTTTTGCTGCTCAGTACCAGTCACTTCCCACTCGTAATCGCCTAAATGTGATTCTTAAAGAGAATATCAACATGAAATGTCGACTTTGCAATGAATTTACAGAGACTGTCCAACACCTTGTCAGTGGATGCCCTTCCTTGGCACAAACAGCATATCTTAAACGACATGATGGCGTGGCTCGCTGCTTTTACTACCGTCTCCGACATGCCTGTGGCTTTGACTCCGAGGTCCATCCATGGTACGACCCTGAACATGCTTTCAAACTTCTGTGGAATAGGCCCATATACAGCCTCAGAAGAATTCCTGCCAACAAACCTGATCTTGTCCTTTTTGATAAAGCCAATAAATTTATATATATCATTGAATTTTCTGTCCCTTTTGACACCAATGTGATTGACAAGATTCAGGAAAAGCATGATAAATATGCGGACCTCGCCTTTGAAATGTCTCGCTTGCATCCCAAGTACACTGTCGCCAGGCTCCCCATTGTTCTCGGTGCCCTTGGTTTGGTACCTCCTGATCTCTTGGCGCAGATCAGGAGAGTGCCCGGGTTCTCCACCGGGAGTACAGCCCTTCTGACACTCTGGGTAATGCAGAAGGCTGCAGTGTTGGGGAGCCTTCATATTCTCCGGAAAGTTCTTGGTGGGTTCGACTAGGCAGCGTTTCCTGGGAGAAGTCCCATTCGCTGTCTGGGCTGCGTGTAGAGGGGGCAAGAGCCCTGAGCTGATGATGAGCCTTACCAGCCTGACTGTGCCAGGATCACCCGAACCCTCTCTGCTGCATACTATCTTTAATCTGTAAAACATAATAATAATAATAAATGCATATGCATATTTATAATGCGCCCCTTCCACACCCTAAGGCATGCTCAAAGCGCTACAGAATATTTACACTGGAGTATTTACAGATGAAGTTATACATAATATACTGAGAAAAGGTGGGTTTTAAGTCTGGACTTAAAAATGTCAATTGTGGCAGGGCTTTTAAGGGCACATGGGAAAGAGTTCCAGAGCACAGGCGCGGAGTAAGAGAATGATCGGTGTCCGAAGGATTTCAGTTTGTAGGATGGGATGACCAGTCGGTCGCGTGCAAGTTGCGTGCGGGGACATACGGATGTAGGAGTTCAGACAAGTAGGAGGGAGCCAAACCATGGAGGCACTTGTATGTCAGACAGAGGATCTTAAAGTCAATTCTGGCCCTAACTGGTAGCCAATGCAGTTCTTTCAACACTGGTGTTATATGGGAACGTTTAGAAGTCTTGCTGATGATGCGGGCGGAAGTATTTTGGATCTTCTGAAGCTATCAAGGAGTTTAGAACTGAGGCGTGAAAGGATGCTGTTACAGTAATCAAGCCTAGATGTAACAAGAGCTCGAACAAGGGCTTTAGTTGCAGCAGTTGTCAGGCTACACACACGTCAACACATTGCCCTTCACCGTGTCATGTGGCTACACACGCATCAACACGTTGCACTCTACCGTGTCAAGTGGCTACACACATGTCAAAATGTTGCCCTCTACTGTGTCATGAGGCTAAACACATGTCAACACGTTGCCCTCTACCGAGTCTTGTGGCTACACACACGTCAACGCGTTCCCCTCTGCACTGTCGTGTGATTACACATATGTCAACACGTTGCCCTCTACTGTGTCATGTGGATACACACACGTCAACACATTGCGCTCCGCCGTGTCATGTGGCTACACACGCATCAACACGTTGCCATCTACCGTGTCAAATGGGCTACACACACGTCAACACATTGCCCTCTGCACTGTCATGTGACTACACATATGAAAACACGTGGCCCTCTACCGTGTCATGTGGCTATACACACATAAACAGGTTGCCCTCTACCGTGTCTTGTGACTACACACACGTCAACACGTTGCCCTCTACCCATGAGGCTACACACAAGTCAACACGTTGCCCTCTGCAATTTCATGTGGTTACACACATGTCAAAACGTTACCCTCTGCGTGTTATGAGGCTACACACACGTCAACACACTGCCCTCCACCGTGTCATATGGCTGCACACGCATGAACATGTTGCCCTCTAACGTGCCATGTGGCTACACACGTCAACACATTGCCCTCTGCACTGTCATGTGGCTACACACGTCACCACGTTGCCCTCTACTGTGTAATGTGGCTACACAAGATGTTGCCCACTACCGTGTCAAGTGGCTACACCAATATCAACATGTTGTCCTCTTCTGTGTCATGAGGCTACACACATGTCAACACGTTCCCCTCTACCGTCTCTTGTGGCTACAGACACGTCAACACGTTGCCCTCTACCGTGTCATGTGGCTACACACACGTCAACACGATGCCCTCTACCGTGTCATGTTGCTACACTCATGTCAACATGTTGCCCTCTACCGTGTCATGTGACTGCACACACGTCAGCACGATGCCCTCTACATGTTTGCTACACTCATGTCAAGATGTTGCCCTGTGTCATGTAGGACTCGTGTCAACACCCAACATGGCAACAAGTTGCCATCTTCTGTGTCATTTTGACACACAGTTGCCCTCTACCGTGTCTTTTGAGTGCACGCACATGTCAACATGCTTCCCTCTACAGTCTCGTCACATTTTACTCATTCAACATGTTGCCCTCTACCGTGTCATGTGGCTACACACACGTCAACACGTTGCCCTCTACCGTGTCTTGTGGCTACACACACGTCAACACGTTGCCCTCTACCGTGTCTTTTGAGTGCACGCACATGTCAACATGTTTCCCACTACAGTGTCGTCACATTTTACTCATTCAATATGTTGTCCTCTACCGTGTCATGTGGCTACACACACGTCAACACGTTGCCCTCTGCACTGTCATGTGGATACACACACGACAACATGTGTCCCTCTACTGTGTAATGTGGCTACACTCATGTCAAGATGTTGCCCTCTACCGTGTCAAGTGGCTACACACATGTCAACATGTTGCCCTCTTCTGTGTCATGAGGCTACACACACGTCAACACGTTGCCCTCTACTGTGTCATGTTGCTACACACATGTCAACACGTTCCCCTCTACCGTGTCTTGTGGCTACACACACGTCAACACATTTCCCTCTGCACTGTCATGTGGCTACATATGAAAACACGTTGCCCTCTACCGTGTCAAATGGGCTACACACACGTCAACTATACACACATAAACACGTTGCCCTCTACCGTGTCTTGTGACTACACACACGTCAACACGTTGCCCTCTGCACTGTCATGTGGCTACACTCATGTCAAGATGTTGCCCTCTACCGTGTCAAGTGGCTAAACACATGTCAACATGTTGCCTCCTTCTGTGTCATGAGGCTACGCACATGTCAACACGTTCCCCTCTACCGTCTCATGTGGCTACACACACGTCAACACGTTGCCCTCTACCGTGACAAGTGGCTACACACATGTCAACATGTTGTCCCCTTCTGTGTCATGAGGCTACACACACGTCAACACATTGCCCTCTGCACTGTCATATGGTTACACATATGAAAACACGTTGCCCTCTACCGTGTCATGTGGCTACACACACGTCAACACGTTGCGCTCTACCGTGTCATGTGGCTACACACACGTCAACACGCTGCCCTCTCCCGTGTCATGTGAGTGCACTCATGTCAACATGTTGCCCTCTACTGTGTCGTCACATTTTACTCATTTAAAGTCCTCACGGATTCATTCACACAAAATGGACGTAATGCCTGGTTTTGCAGTTTCCGATTCTGATCAAGGTTATGAAAGAACGCTATATCTCGATGACGATTGTGGTTTTCCTCTACGCTCTGATAAAGTTGTTGACATTGCGGAAGGTAATAAACTATACACATCGTGCAAACCTGGGAGAAATATTAATATCCTTGTTGTGTTTGGTATGGGAGTGGATGAAGTTTTCCTTGCTGGTGCTGACTGACATGGCAGGGTTCCTGTTCCTGTGGGGGGTCCTCCTCCTGACACCAGGTACAGTTATCTTCATAGCAAGCTTCGGTCTCCTCCTGGCCTAACATACATATCTAGGAACAGACCAGCAGGTTGTTCAGTCAATCTTACAATTCATCACGGACGTTTTGAAATGTGCACTTGTCACTGTCTGACTCTGTATATGTTGGGGCCAAATGCCTCTCGTGACAAATGTGACTGCGTGACTCTGTGTGTGTGTTTGACCGTGTTTGACTCTGTGTGTGTGTGCGTGCGCGCGCGCACGCGTGTCGTGACAAATGTGACTGTGTGCGTGGCCAAATGCTTGTCGTGACAAATCTGAGTGTGTGTGTGGGTCAAATACTTACCACTCTCTGTTTTCAGCAATATACGTATTGGCCGACATGTCTATACATATTTGTTTACTAGAATGTGTCGACATAACATTAATAGACACTGTATATAGGACTATGTCCATACCATCTCACAATGGACCAAGAACCTTCAATATGGTATTTACACTGTATATAGGGCTATGTGTATACCATCTCACAATGCACCAAGAGCCTTCAATAGGGTATTTTCACTGTATATAGGGGTATGTGTATACCATCTCACAATGCACCAAGAGCCTTCAATATGGTATTTACACTGTATATAGGACTATGTGTATACCATCTCACAATGCACCAAGAGCCTTCAATAGGGTATTTACACTGTATATAGGGCTATGTCCATACCATCTCACAATGCACCAAGAGCCTTCAATAGGGTATTTACACTGTATATATGCGTATGTCTATACCATCTCACAATGCACCAAGAACCTTCAATATGGTATTTACACTGTATATAGGGGCATGTCTATACCATCTCACAATGCACCAAGAGCCTTCAATAGGGTATTTACACTGTATATAGGGCTATGTGTATACCATCTCACAATACACCAAGAGCCTTCAATAGGGTATTTACACTGTATATAGGGCTATGTGTATACCATCTCACAATACACCAAGAGCCTTCAATAGGGTATTTACACTGTATATAGGGGTATGTCTATACCATCTCACAATGCACCAAGAGCCTTCAATAGGGTATTTACACTGTATATATGCGTATGTCTATACCACCTAACAATACACCAGGAAAATTCAATAGGGTATTTACACTGTATATAGGGCTATGTCTATACCATCTCACAATACACTAACAGCCTTCAATAGGGTATTTACACTGTATATAGGGGTATGTCTATACCACCTCACAATACACCAGGAAAATTCAATAGGGTATTTACACTGTATATAGGGGCATGCCTATACCATCTCACAATACACCAAGACCTCGAGTCTGTGGAGGTCGCTATTTTTGGTGTGCGAACAAAATACCTTGTGGACAAAAGCCCCTTAGGACCAAACCCCCCATCATGTAGGCCAAAAAACCCAAAAGCGCCAAATGAATAATGAAGATTGTTTATTATTCCAATATTATATTTAGCCGACATCACATGCATGCTTAGTTTATGGAGCATATTTTAGAGCAGTTTTAGCACGACAGGGAGTTGAAATACTTAATAATGTGTACATATCTACATACTAAGTTGATTAATTAAACTTTTTATACTCTTGAAGTCAATTAATCCTCATCAATAATGAAGACTTGATTTCTTTATTGTATCAGAAGATATATTTGATATATAAAAGTGATCACTCAACAATAACATTAACCTTTTCCAACGCTTTAAGCCAGGAACGATGACATGGGTACTGGAAGTTTAATAATTCCTTGTTGTTAAATCCTGAATATGGAAACTTAGTCAGAATATTTTAAATGACACTGTTCAGGAATACTCAACAGAAAAAAATTGATGACTTTGAAAACACTGAAAATATTTAACTTACAATTTCCAACTCCTTATTTCTAGAAACATTATAAATGAAAATCCGAGCAAAGACCATATCTTTTTCATCCTACATATAGAAAACAAAGGTAAAAAATACAGAAGAACTAGAATTAAAACTAAAACAGGTCGAAGATAATATTCGAAAAAACTTCAAAACATTGATGAAGAACTTTTGAGAGAACTATTAACATATAAGAAAGAAATGGAAGAAATTAAAAGTGAGGAAATGCAAGGAATACAAATCCGAAACCGAATTCTTTGGTGAGAAGAAGGAGAAAAATCTTGAAAATATTTCTACCATCTGGAAAATAGGAAATTCTAAAAAAATCAATTAATAAGTTAATGACTAATGATAAGAATGAAATCACTGACAGCAAATCAATACTGAATGAAGTAAAACTATTTTATAAAATTCTCTATGCTTCTCAGGAACAATATAAGGAAGAAGACTGCTTAAAGGATATTAAAACTCCACCTTTAAACAAAACACTAAGAGATTATCTTTAAAGAGAAATCAGTTTGGATGAATTTAGCAATGCTGTTTACAGGATGAAGAATAATAAAAGCCCAGGGATTAATTTCCTATTGATTTCTTTAATTGTTTTCGAAAGAATCAAAAATATAGATTTATAGATTCATTAAAGAAGTATCAACAAAAAATGAAATGTCTTTGAATATGAAAAGGAGTGTTATCACCTGTATTCCAAAACCCATAAAAGATTGGAGGCCAATCACTTTACTTAATGCTAGTTATATAATTATTAGCGCCTGCATTGCACATAGATTTAAAACTACTTTAGATGAACTTATTCACTCTAACCAAGCTGGTTTTATACGGGTAGGACTATTGGTGAAAATACAAGATTGTTATATGATATAATGTTTGAAACAAAGAAACGAAATATTCCTGGCTTGCTAATTCTGATGGATTTTGAAAAAGCGTTTGACACTGTTTCAAAGATTTTTTGAACCTGGTTTTACATAAACATGAAATGATAAGATGGATAAATATATTAACTTATGAATCAACATCTTGTGTTGTCCAACATGGTAATCTATCCGACTTCTTTGTAGGACGGGTTAGTCTGTATTCACGGAATTTTAAAAAAATGAAAATTTGGATTATCGACAATTTCGATTATTTTCAAAGCTAGCAAAGCTAGCATGTTTGTCTCACTACAGGGTCGTGTACATCAGCCACTACGTCGACTACCACCCCGACAACCTCTTCTATCCGAGGGACACCATCACAGGGTTAGACGACATGATTATTCGTATTCTCACTTCTTCAAAACATGGTCAGCATGTTTTATTATGTCATTTAAAGAACATGGCAGTGGTCTGCCCTCTTAAATCACATGAGTTACTATTTTCAACACACGTAGATTCAGTTCCACATCCAGCTCCGGCTGTAGATACTTTCCTTTGTCAACTCACTGGCTTCATCAGCTTACTGCCTAGCCAATCATGTTAATTATATTGTTTTCTTTGTTACATTCAGTATATATACACCCCCTTCCCTTCATGTTCCATTCCTGTTTGACAACAGTACAAGAATCTGTATGGAAACGTCGCACTCACGAACCAAGAGAAGTTGTTATCCATAAAGATTGTTCAATATGTTGTTTTCCCAACTTCTGAAATGCCACTCAAAGAAACAACGTGTTTACCCTTAGGATCACCCACCCCAAGCAGCAGTGGAATCAGCAGCACGTCATCTTCGACATCCGAAATCAGTTCCGTCACAACGACGTCACATACGACATCCGACACCAGTGCAATCACCAGGTCGTCATCTACGACATCCGACATTAGTGCAGCCACTACTCCATCATCTACGGCACGCACTACCCAGTTATCCACCACGTTCGACGACCAAAGCACGAGAGTGTGCATACGTGAATCATCTGCTGGTATGACAATCTTTACATTTTGTGCACCTCCTGAATGTAAAAATGATATATTTCTGTATATAGTCAGAAGGAATCTTTGATAATAGTCGATTAAATCTAGCTATATCATGAGTATATGCAAAGAGCTAAAACATTTCTAATGAACTATTTGTACAAGATATCACGCAGGTGGATCCTACCTTATCTGGTCTGAAGAAATCTGAAACAAATTAACTACATGCACTTTCAACACGAATATAGCCAGTAAAGGAGCATGGACATAGTTACAAATCTATAGATACACATGGATCCTTGTATGGTGTCGCTGTTACTTGCGCCACCATAATTAGATTCAGAATTCAAGTGGTAACTCATCCATTATAGACTACATCAAGCCTCAGTTTAACAGATTTAGAATAGATAACCGAAGGACTCGTTTTGTGACTGTCCGTTCTGTCTTCAGGCAATATAAAAATATCAGTTCAATTTTACTTGTAAGCATCGCATCACCTAATGACATCGTCTTTTGTTGGTTACCCAGTCATTTTGGAATCATTGGTAACTCACTGGCCAATGCTGATTAATCTGTGGCAAGACTTCTCAGCTCCTGCTGGGAATACAGAGCTGTGACTAGATGTTATACTACAGATGTACTGCTGACAAAGTGGGACACTGCAGTAGGTGTCAGTAAGATACACAAGTGGGACACTGCAGTAGGTGTCAGTAACATACACAAGTGTTTGCCATAAGTTTAATGCATTCTCAGACATGTTCTCAAACTAGTTGAAATGTTGTTTGAGATACAACAGCATGTACTGTTGTACAATTCTACACACTGTTGTTTATGTTTCAGGTGATGGAGCTGGTATATCAGCAGCTGAAGTCGCCGGCAGTGTTGTAGCGGCTGTTGTTGTTTCTGCCTTCGTTTCGTCCACTATCACCTACTACATCATCAGGTCACATATGTGTGATGTGATGTGATGTGATGTGATGTGATGTGATGTGATGTGATGTGATGTGCTGTGATGTGATGTGATGTGATGTGATGTGATGTGATGTGATGTGATGTGATGTGATGTGTGGTGTGGTGTGGTGCGGTGCGGTGTGTTATTTGTGGTGGTGGTGTGTGTGTGTGGGGGGGGATGGAGTGGTGTGTGTGATGTGTGTGATGAATGTGTGATGAGTAGTGCTTGTGTAGTGTGCGTGGGTGTGTGGTGTGTTATGTGTGTGATGTGTGTGTGCGATGAGTAGTGTTTTTCTAGTGTGTGTGTATGCAAGTTTGGTGTGGTGTGTGTGGTATGTGTGTGTGTGTGTGTGTGTGTGTGTGTGTGTGTGTGTGTGTGTGTGTGTGTGTGTGTGTGTGTGTGTGTGAGTGAGATGGATGGTGATATACTATAGACATTCCCATGCCAATAAGATGTTTATGCTGCGTTAAGCAACATTCACCCGCTCATTAACGATACATAAACTACATTGTACAACATTTGACAGTGCTTAAGTTCCCTGTGAGACTCAACATGTGTGTCACCGCAGCTACCGACTAGTGTGTATGTCGAAGAGCGTTCGTTGGGGATACTCTCGGATGGTAGTTCAGGATGGTGGACAAGAGATGGAAGACAAATCAGGTGTGAAGTTGAAGACGGCAGCTGCCATGTTTATTATGGTTGCGGAATAATGGTAGAAATGGTATATAAGATGGAAATCACGTGACAGAACGCACATCGGGACCGAGTGGCCAATGTTCCCGATGTGGAGACCCGCTCTGTCACTTACACACATTCAGAAGTCGGACAGCGATTCTTCATCGTCAACTTAGTCGCTGGTGAGGCGACGACCTTGGCCAACGCCGACTAGCCGCACAGTCCGTCCGCTTCGGTCGATGATCTGGGTCCGTCTCGTCCCCCTGACTGGTCTCCCTGAGTGACCATGTCAGTCAGGTTTTATACATAGGGACCTTACGCCACGTTATGCAAGGTCACTGACCTATGCACATGTACATACGTACGATCCGCTGACGTAGTGAGGTGTTGATTGGCATTTACTGATAGCATCAAGAATTCAGGGTCCTGCCGGGAGGAGGTTAATGATAAGAGGGCTACACCGAATGATTGCTGAATACATTAAACAGACAAAGGGGATAGAATTTCGGTGCACTTTGGATATATATTGAAACAGTTATGTTGTTTGGATATATGAAGTTTTACAGAAACTCATTGAAAATGGTTTACTCTATGGCATGCATATGAAACAGTCGGAACTGTGGCATACTGAAGCAAAGTTTCAGTATAACAATCAAAGGATTATTGAGGTGAATCAATACCATCTGTGTGTTTTTTTAGTGTTACTGTGATCACAGAGGTGAATCAATACCATCTATGTGTTTGCTGTGTGTTACTGTGATCACAGAGGTGAATCAATACCATCTGTGTGTTTGCTGTGTGTTACTGTGATCACAGAGGTGAATCAATACCATCTGTGTGTTTGCTGTGTGTTACTGTGATTACAGAGGTGAATCAATACCATCTATGTGTTTGCTGTGTGTTACTGTGATTACAGAGGTGAATCAATACCATCTGTGTGTTTGCTGTGTGTTACTGTGATCACAGAGGTGAATCAATACCATCTGTGTGTTTGCTGTGTGTTACTGTGATCACAGAGGTGAATCAATACCATCTGTGTGTTACTGTGCTGAATCAATACCATCTGCGTGTTACTGTGATCACAGAGGTGAATCAATACCATCTGTGTGTTTGCTGATCACAGAGGTGTTACTGCGTGATCACAGAGGTGAATCAGATACAATACCATCTGTGTGTTTGCTGTTGTTACTGTGATTACAGAGGTGAATCAATACCATCTATGTGTTACTGTGTGTTTGTTGAGTGTTACTGTGGTCACAGAGGTCACAGAGGTGAATCAATACCATCTGTGTGTTTGCTGTGTGTTACTGTGATCACAGAGGTGAATCAATACCATCTGTGTGTTTGCTGAGTGTTACTGTGATCACAGAGGTGAATCAATACCATCTGTGTGTTTGCTGAGTGTTACTGTGATCACAGAGGTGAATCAATACCATCTGTGTGTTTGCTGTGTGTTACTGTGATCACAGAGGTGAATCAATACCATATGTGCGTTTGTTGAGTGTTACTGTCATTATATTCCAGAAGGAAATATCGAGGGAAGCCGGTTGACGAACGGATGGCTGAAACTACTGGGGGAAGTACCACCAACACTCTGCCGGAAGAAACAGACGGCCCCGTGACTGCCAAGCCGCACTGCCCCGATACACACGTCCCTGTCTACATCGGTGTAGATATTGCTGTAGAGAAGGGTCCTCTACATGCCTACGACTCTGAAACCAGGAAGACAGAGCTGGATGATATCTCAGTAATTGACCTGGATCATTCGGAAAGGCTAGTGTTTGCGTACAACCCTCTAACCATGGCTGGAGAAAATATGGATGATCCTCCACAGTCCGAGCTCTGACCCGACACATAGTGCTCAACGCGTCCTCCATCGGTACCCCAAACCGCAAAATGACCTTGTATACGTGAACTGCGCCTTGCGCTGGTGTCCACACGGGAGAGTTGAATAGACACGATTTATTGCTAAAGGTTAATGTTTCCTTCACTCATTCCAGGTACATTTATTTCCGTCATTAAAGTCTTTGTTTTCTATGCTGCTTTGGACTTGTAAATAAATATACCTTGCAGTTCCCCAACTTGGTGTGAAGTCTTTCGGGTATCACATACCAATGCTTTTTGTACCATGTGCGAATCTTCATTTGATATGTAAAATATTATTTTCATGTTGTTACTTTCTTGGAATCATGTATAACTCCATCAGGTTATACGTCGCTGTGGTAGGTTCTCCGGGAGCTTGTGGATTGCATTTTCCCGTGATTGTTGTGAGAGCCTTTCCTTGAGGACGACTTGGTTAGTTTTTTCTAACATTATAAAGCACAACCGACTCATGGTGTAATGGTCAAAAGTATGATTTTTACTTTTTTTGTAATGTCCCATGTATTTGTTATCTGTTACTCCTAATTCGTTTTTGTATCAGAATTCTAATTTCAAATTCATTTTCTTTATCACCTTAATTTGTATTAACAAGAACGATGTTTTTATGGATACACAGCTACTTTATTGCAATGGCTGCTACGTTTCGGTGTAGATTGCTTGATAACGGTGTTAGATTCTTAACCAAAACGTTGCATCCACTGTCATCATACCAGCTTCTAAAAACCACTCAGTGAAGTTGATTTGTAATGCTGTATGTGATTTAAAGTCAGGGTATAAACAAGTCATGCAGTGGTGAGCGATCTTCAAGTTCAGAAGCCTTGTGATACTACCCTGAAATAATGGTGAGTCTCCTTTGGCATACCGACCTATCCTGTTGTTTAAATTACAATTACTGTTCTATATGAGAAACTGTGTGATAATTTCCTTTTGTTGTTGAGGGTGTTAGTCCAAATTTGTAAACATGTGCTTCCTTGTTTACTGGTTCAGTGTTAACCCTTTATCTCCTTACCTTCAGAGTTGTTATGTTTATATTGATATGGTTCATGCCGCGTTTTATTCATTCAAGATAGTAATATCAGGAGTGAGTGAGTGAGTTTAGTTTTACGCCAAACTCAGCAATATTCCAGTCATATAGCGGCGGTCTGTAAATAATCGAGTCTGGACCAGACAATCCAGTGATCAACAGCATGAGCATCGATCAGTAATATCAGGAATTTCAAGACATGTTTAAGGTAATTTGAATGCTGTGTACGAGGCACGCAAGGTTTATGAAGGTTCGTTCAGTTTTCAGCCAAACTATTACTACCACGTCTTGTCTTGTAAAAAACATAAGGAAAGCAAAGACAGAAAGAAGCATTTCATTCAAGGCTTGCCTGCTTTGCAGATTGTATAGTGTTCACAATAAGAAACGGGCCTTAAAATGCCATTGCTCTTTGAATAAAGACGATCAGTGGTATTGGGTTGTTTTGTTGCTTGAAGGTTGCATGCCTGATAGAATTCATAATGCCAACATCAGGGATAAATCAGTCTGGAACTTTTGTAGACATCCGGTGGTTCGCGCAGACTGTAAGCGTATATTACAGTACCGGTAGCAAACTCTCACACAGGTTCCTGGACGCCCACTGTAAGCAAATCTTACAGTACCGGCAGCAAACTCTCACACAGGTTCCTGGACGACCACTGTAAACATATCTTACAGTACCGACAGCAAACTCTCACACAGGTTCCTGGACGACCACTGTAAACATATCTTACAGTACCGACAGCAAACTCACACACAGGTTCATGGACGACCACTGTAAACATATCTTACAGTACCGACAGCAAACTCTCACACAGGTTCTTGGACGACCACTGTAAGCGTATCTTACAGTACCGACAGCAAACTCTCACACAGGTTCCTGGACGACCACTGTAAACATATCTTACAGTACCGGCAGCAAACTCTCACACAGGTTCCTGGACGACCACTGTAAACATATCTTACAGTACCGACAGCAAACTCTCACACAGGTTCCTGGACGACCACTGTAAGCATATCTTACAGTACCGACAGCAAACTCTCACACAGGTTCATGGACGACCACTGTAAACATATCTTACAGTACCGGCAGCAAACTCTCACACAGGTTCCTGGACGCCAACTGTAAGCGTATCTTACAGTACCGACAGCAAACTCTCACACAGGTTCCTGGACGCCCACTGTAAGCACATCTTACAGTACCGACAGCAAACTCTCACACAGGTTCCTGGACGACCACTGTAAACATATCTTACAGTACCGACAGCAAACTCTCACACAGGTTCCTGGACGACCACTGTAAACATATCTTACAGTACCGACAGCAAACTCTCACACAGGTTCCTGGACGCCCACTGTAAGCATATCTTACAGTACCGGCAGCAAACTCTCACACAGGTTCATGGACGCCCACTGTAAGCGTATCTTACAGTACCGGCAGCAAACTCTCACACAGGTTCCTGGACGACCACTGTAAGCAAATCTTACAGTACCGACAGCAAACTCTCACACAGGTTCATGGACGCCCACTGTAAGCAAATCTTACAGTACCGGCAGCAAACTCTCACACAGGTTCCTGGACGACCACTGTAAACATATCTTACAGTACCGGCAGCAAACTCTCACACAGGTTCCTGGACGCCCACTGTAAGCAAATCTTACAGTACCGACAGCAAACTCTCACACAGGTTCCTGGACGCCCACTGTAAGCACATCTTACAGTACCGACAGCAAACTCTCACACAGGTTCCTGGACGCCCACTGTAAGCGTATCTTACAGTACCGACAGCAAACTCTCACACAGGTTCATGGACGCCACTGTAAGCGTATCTTACAGTACCGACAGCAAACTCTCACACAGGTTCCTGGACGACCACTGTAAGCGTAAGCATCTTACAGTACCGACAGCAAACTCTCACACAGGTTCCTGGACGACCACTGTAAGCATATCTTACAGTACCGACAGCAAACTCTCACACAGGTTCCTGGACGACCACTGTAAGCGTATCTTACAGTACCGACAGCAAACTCTCACACAGGTTCATGGACGACCACTGTAAGCGTATCTTACAGTACCGACAGCAAACTCTCACACACAGGTTCATGGACGACCACTGTAAGCATATCTTACCGACAGCAAACTCTCACACAGGTTCCTGGACGACCACTGTAAGCATATCTTACAGTACCGACAGCAAACTCTCACACAGGTTCCTGGACGACCACTGTAAGCGTATCTTACAGTACCGACAGCAAACTCTCACACAGGTTCATGGACGACCACTGTAAGCATATCTTACAGTACCGACAGCAAACTCTCACACAGGTTCCTGGACGACCACTGTAAGCGTATCTTACAGTACCGACAGCAAACTCTCACACAGGTTCATGGACGACCACTGTAAACATATCTTACAGTACCGACAGCAAACTCTCACACAGGTTCCTGGACGACCACTGTAAGCATATCTTACAGTACCGACAGCAAACTCTTCCTGGACGACCACTGTAAGCAGTACCGACAGCAAACTCTCACACAGGTTCATGGACGACCACTGTAAACATATCTTACAGTACCGACAGCAAACTCTCACACAGGTTCCTGGACGACCACTGTAAGCGTATCTTACAGTACCGACAGCAAACTCTCACACAGGTTCCTGGACGACCACTGTAAGCATATCTTACAGTACCGACAGCAAACTCTCACACAGGTTCCTGGACGACCACTGTAAGCATATCTTACAGTACCGACAGCAAACTCTCACACAGGTTCCTGGACGACCACTGTAAGCATATCTTACAGTACCGACAGCAAACTCTCACACAGGTTCCTGGACGACCACTGTAAACATATCTTACAGTACCGACAGCAAACTCTCACACAGGTTCCTGGACGACCACTGTAAACATATCTTACAGTACCGACAGCAAACTCTCACACAGGTTCCTGGACGACCACTGTAAGCATATCTTACAGTACCGACAGCAAACTCTCACACAGGTTCCTGGACGACCACTGTAAACATATCTTACAGTACCGACAGCAAACTCTCACACAGGTTCATGGACGACCACTGTAAACATATCTTACAGTACCGACAGCAAACTCTCACACAGGTTCCTGGACGCCCACTGTAAGCATATCTTACAGTACCGACAGCAAACTCTCACAGGTTCCTGGACGACCACTGTAAACATATCTTACAGTACCGACAGCAAACTCTCACACAGGTTCATGGACGACCACTGTAAACATATCTTACAGTACCGACAGCAAACTCTCACACAGGTTCCTGGACGACCACTGTAAGCATATCTTACAGTACCGACAGCAAACTCTCACACAGGTTCCTGGACGACCACTGTAAGCATATCTTACAGTACCGACAGCAAACTCTCCACAGGTTCCTGGACGACCACTGTAAGCATATCTTACAGTACCGACAGCAAACTCTCACACAGGTTCCTGGACGACCACTGTAAAGCATATCTTACAGTACCGACAGCAAACTCTCACAGGGTTCCTGGACGACCACTGTAAGCATATCTTACAGTACCGACAGCAAACTCTCACACAGGTTCCTGGACGACCACTGTAAGCATATCTTACAGTACCGACAGCAAACTCTCACACAGGTTCCTGGACGACCACTGTAAGCGTATCTTACAGTACCGACAGCAAACTCTCACACAGGTTCCTGGACGACCACTGTAAACATATCTTACAGTACCGACAGCAAACTCTCACACAGGTTCCTGGACGACCACTGTAAGCATATCTTACAGTACCGACAGCAAACTCTCACACAGGTTCCTGGACGACCACTGTAAGCATATCTTACAGTACCGACAGCAAACTCTCACACAGGTTCATGGACGACCACTGTAAACATATCTTACAGTACCGACAGCAAACTCTCACACAGGTTCCTGGACGACCACTGTAAACATATCTTACAGTACCGACATCTTACAGCAAAACTCTCACACAGGTTCCTGGACGACCACTGTAAACATATCTTACAGTACCGACAGCAAACTCTCACACAGGTTCCTGGACGCCCACTGGACGACCACTGTAAACATATCTTACAGTACCGACAGCAAACTCTCACACAGGTTCCTGGACGACCACTGTAAACCGACATATCTTACAGTACCGACAGCAAACTCTCACACAGGTTCCTGGACGACCACTGTAAACATATCTTACAGTACCGACAGCAAACTCTCACACAGGTTCCTGGACGACCACTGTAAGCATATCTTACAGTACCGACAGCAAACTCTCACACAGGTTCCTGGACGACCACTGTAAACATATCTTACAGTACCGACAGCAAACTCTCACACAGGTTCCTGGACGACCACTGTAAGCATATCTTACAGTACCGACAGCAAACTCTCACACAGGTTCCTGGACGACCACTGTAAACATATCTTCTTACAGTACCGACAGCAAACTCTCACACAGGTTCATGGACGACCACTGTAAACATATCTTACAGTACCGACAGCAAACTCTCACACAGGTTCATGGACGACCACTGTAAGCGTATCTTACAGTACCGACAGCAAACTCTCACACAGGTTCCTGGACGCCCACTGTAAGCGTATCTTACAGTACCGACAGCAAACTCTCACACAGGTTCCTGGACGACCACTGTAAACATATCTTACAGTACCGACAGCAAACTCTCACACAGGTTCCTGGACGACCACTGTAAACATATCTTACAGTACCGACAGCAAACTCTCACACAGGTTCCTGGACGACCACTGTAAACATATCTTACAGTACCGACAGCAAACTCTCACACAGGTTCCTGGACGACCACTGTAAACATATCTTACAGTACCGACAGCAAACTCTCACACAGGTTCCTGGACGACCACTGTAAACATATCTTACAGTACCGACAGCAAACTCTCACACAGGTTCCTGGACGACCACTGTAAGCATATCTTACAGTACCGACAGCAAACTCTCACACAGGTTCATGGACGACCACTGTAAACATATCTTACAGTACCGACAGCAAACTCTCACACAGGTTCCTGGACGCCCACTGTAAGCATATCTTACAGTACCGACAGCAAACTCTCACACAGGTTCATGGACGACCACTGTAAGCATATCTTACAGTACCGACAGCAAACTCTCACACAGGTTCCTGGACGACCACTGTAAGCATATCTTACAGTACCGACAGCAAACTCTCACACAGGTTCATGGACGACCACTGTAAACATATCTTACAGTACCGACAGCAAACTCTCACACAGGTTCCTGGACGACCACTGTAAACATATCTTACAGTACCGACAGCAAACTCTCACACAGGTTCCTGGACGACCACTGTAAACATATCTTACAGTACCGACAGCAAACTCTCACACAGGTTCCTGGACGACCACTGTAAGCGTATCTTACAGTACCGACAGCAAACTCTCACACAGGTTCCTGGACGACCACTGTAAACATATCTTACAGTACCGACAGCAAACTCTCACACAGGTTCCTGGACGACCACTGTAAACATATCTTACAGTACCGACAGCAAACTCTTCACACAGGTTCTGGACGACACAGGTTCCTGGACGACCACTGTAAACATATCTTACAGTACCGGCAGCAAACTCTCACACAGGTTCCTGGACGACCACTGTAAACATATCTTACAGTACCGACAGCAAACTCTCACACAGGTTCCTGGACGACCACTGTAAGCATATCTTACAGTACCGACAGCAAACTCTCACACAGGTTCCTGGACGACCACTGTAAACATATCTTACAGTACCGACAGCAAACTCTCACACAGGTTCCTGGACGACCACTGTAAGCATATCTTACAGTACCGACAGCAAACTCTCACTCTCACAGGTTCCTGGACGACCACTGTAAGCGTATCTTACAGTACCGACAGCAAACTCTCACACAGGTTCCTGGACGACCACTGTAAGCATATCTTACAGTACCGACAGCAAACTCTCACACAGGTTCCTGGACGACCACTGTAAACATATCTTACAGTACCGACAGCAAACTCTCACACAGGTTCCTGGACGACCACTGTAAGCATATCTTACAGTACCGACAGCAAACTCTCACACAGGTTCCTGGACGACCACTGTAAACATATCTTACAGTACCGACAGCAAACTCTCACACAGGTTCCTGGACGACCACTGTAAACATATCTTACAGTACCGACAGCAAACTCTCACACAGGTTCCTGGACGACCACTGTAAACATATCTTACAGTACCGACAGCAAACTCTCACACAGGTTCCTGGACGACCACTGTAAACATATCTTACAGTACCGACAGCAAACTCTCACACAGGTTCCTGGACGACCACTGTAAACATATCTTACAGTACCGACAGCAAACTCTCACACAGGTTCCTGGACGACCACTGTAAGCATATCTTATCTTACAGTACCGACAGCAAACTCTCACACAGGTTCCTGGTGTCATGGACGACCACTGTAAACATATCTTACAGTACCGACCGGCAGCAAACTCTCCGACACAGGTTCCTGGACGCCCACTGTAAGCGTATCTTACAGTACCGACAGCAAACTCTCACACAGGTTCCTGGACGACCACTGTAAGCATATCTTACAGTACCGACAGCAAACTCTCACACAGGTTCCTGGACGACCACTGTAAACATATCTTACAGTACCGACAGCAAACTCTCACACAGGTTCATGGACGACCACTGTAAACATATCTTACAGTACCGACAGCAAACTCTCACACAGGTTCATGGACGACCACTGTAAACATATCTTACAGTACCGACAGCAAACTCTCACACAGGTTCATGGACGCCCACTGTGTTTCGGGTTAAAGACTGCGCCATTAGCCTTTCAGCGTATGATGCATGTAGTACTAGGTGGCTTAACTCGTGATCATGTTTTGGTGTATTGGACGATGTGTTAGTCCATTCCAGTACAGCTGATGAACATTTGGACAATTTGAGACAGGCATTTGAAAAGTTTGCATCCAGTGGTGTTACTTTGAGGCCAGACAAATGTTTTTTCTTCATGGAGAGTGTCCAATATCTAGGTTATGAGATTTCTGCTTCAGGTGTGAGTCCAGGAAAGAAAGGTTCAAGTTGATCTTGACGTCTTACCCTGTTTTGAAACATCCTGAGCTTAGTGCATAGGCGTCGCAATTCATAATACAGACAGATGCTAGTAAGACAGGTTTAGAGGGAGTGCTTTTGCAAGATGACCATCCCATCAGTTATGCTTCAAAGAAACTTTCCAAAACTGAACGAAATTATTCCACTATCCACCGAGAAGCACTGGCGATAATATGGGCTGTTAGGAAAGTTCGATGTGTTTCGGGAAGACGTTTCGTTTGAGAATTGATCAAAAACTGACATACATTTGGACATCAAAATCAGAGAAATTCGCCAGATGGAGTTTAGAACTTTCTGAGTACTCATTTGACATTGATCACATTTAAGGGAATGAAAACATTCCAAGTGATATTTTGAGTCGTAAGCCTGTTGAAGACGCCAATGAATTACCAGTGTTAGCTGTGACTAGAGGTCAAGAAAAACGACGTGATATTATGCTTAAAGCACATGAACTGGGTCACTTTGGTACAAAGAAGAACATGGCAATTAGCACAAAAAGTTGATTCTTCAATTACACAACGTGAGGTAGCAGTTATCCAGTTCACCTAGCGCCAGGCACCGTTCGTGCAGACCTAGATATTAACGTTCAAGGTCTCCACTTGACCGAAGATGTTCACCTAGCGCCAGGCACCGTTCGTCAAGACCTGGATACTAACGTTCAAGGTCTCCATTTGACCGAAGATGTTCACCTAGCGCCAGGCGCCGTTCGTGCAGCACCAGTCGTTACCTGTCACCTGTCAACACTTTCCAGGTCGCCAGCCGTGGTCTTTCAGACTTTGAGGGATTTTTTTTAACGATTTCGAGGCCAGGTTAGATAGAGGGTCTGTGGAGGCAGCCAGACACCACCACAGCACGGGGGTCTTCCTTGTCACCTGAACCTTGTCTTCAGTCTTCAACTGCTGGCTCTTCCTCGACTCCCATCATCCCTTTGGAGCACACTTTTGAGGATGAGGATGACTTTATGCCTCTAACCGTTGGTCGTCCGTCTGTCTCGGCGCACCTCTCTGGATCAAGTCAAAACGTTGATTAAACATCAGTCTCGTTTCCTTCCGTCCTATTGCGCAACTTAGTACAATAACAAGTCCAGAATTGTGAGACCAATTCATTTAACTGGATACCTAAATATTAATCAGTATTATTTGATACATCTAAGCACTTGTATATTGCAACACTACGCTCATTCTAATCCTTGCAAACACGTCGTACAGCGAGCTCTGCCAAACGGAAAACTGGAAATCGTGGAAATCTCAAAACGAGGCTCTACCGTTAGAAAGGTTTGGCGGTCTGGTACGGAATTGATATTATATCAATCACATTGTGCGTTACAGAACTACATTGAATAAGCGCACAAAACACATAACAGGTTAACAGTTGTAACCAGATGCATTGTGAATCATTTTATGACCTCATCAAACGGGCAGTCTGTGACGTCTTAGTTAAGGTCATGCTGCCTACACCTCGCCATAAAATACTATGTTATTAAAGTTAAAAATTAAAATTCATTGGTAAATACCATTTTCTTACGAAACAAGAAATTGGAATTCAGTGTAACCATAGTTGTTTGTGACGTCTATTTTCACTTTCACACGAGAAAATTCGGATCGGCTGAAAAGTAGGCCATTGTCTGAATAGGTTAATGAGACTCATCTGGAATCTCCTCCCCGTGTTCTATCTTCAGGGGAGATCCAGTATCTAGATTCTCCTCCCCGTGTTCCATCTTCAGGGGAGATCCAGTATCTAGATTCTCCTCCCCGTGTTCAATCTTCAGGGGAGATCCAGTATCTGGATTCTCCTCCCCGTGTTCAATCTTCAGGGGAGATCCAGTATCTAGATTCTCCTCCCCGTGTTCCATCTTCAGGGGAGATCCAGTATCTAGATTCTCCTCCCCGTGTTCCATCTTCAGGGGAGATCCAGTATCTAGATTCTCCTCCCCGTGTTCCATCTTCAGGGGAGATCCAGTATCTAGATTCTCCTCCCTGTGTTCAATCTTCAGGGAAATCCAGTATCTAGATTCTCCTCCCCGTGTTCAATCTTCAGGGAGATCCAGTATCTGGATTCTCCTCCCCGTGTTCCATCTTCAGGGGAGATCCAGTATCTAGATTCTCCTCCCCGTGTTCCATCTTCAGGGAGATCCAGTATCTAGATTCTCCTCCGTGTTCATCTTCAGGGGAGATCCAGTATCTAGATTCTCCTCCGTGTTCAATCTTCAGGGGAGATCCAGTATCTAGATTCTCCTCCCCGTGTTCAATCTTCAGGGGAGATCCAGTATCTAGATTCTCCTCCCGTGTTCCATCTTCAGGGGAGAATCCAGTATCTAGATTCTCCTCCCCGTGTTCCATCTCTTCAGGGGAAATCCAGTATCTAGATTCTCCCTCCCCGTGTTCAATCTTCAGGGGAGATCCAGTATCTAGATTCTCCTCCCGTGTTCAATGTTCAGGGGATCTTCAGGGGGTGTTCCATCTTCAGGGAGATCCAGTATCTAGATTCTCCTCCCCGTGTTCCATCTTCAGGGGAGATCCAGTATCTAGATTCTCCTCCCTGTGTTCCATCTTCAGGGAGATCCAGTATCTAGATTCTCCTCCCTGTGTTCCATCTTCAGGGGATTCCAGCATCCTCCTCCCCGTGTTCCATCTTCAGGGGAGATCCAGTATCTAGATTCTCCTCCCTGTGTTCCATCTTCAGGGGAAATCCAGTATCTAGATTCTCCTCCCCGTGTTCAATCTTCAGGGGAGATCCAGTATCTAGATTCTCCTCCCCGTGTTCAATCTTCAGGGGAGATCCAGTATCTAGATTCTCCTCCCCGTGTTCCATCTTCAGGGGAGATCCAGTATCTAGATTCTCCTCCCCGTGTTCAATCTTCAGGGGAGATCCAGTATCTAGATTCTCCTCCCCGTGTTCAATCTTCAGGGGAGATCCAGTATCTAGATTCTCCTCCCCAGTATCTAGATTCTCCTCCTCGTGTTCCATCTTCAGGGGAGATCCAGTATCTAGATTCTCCTCCCCGTGTTCCATCTTCAGGGGAGATCCAGTATCTAGATTCTCCTCCCTGTGTTCAATCTTCAGGGAGATCCAGTATCTAGATTCTCCTCCCCGTGTTCAATCTTCAGGGAGATCCAGTATCTAGATTCTCCTCCCTGTGTTCCATCTTCAGGGAGATCCAGTATCTAGATTCTCCTCCCTGTGTTCCATCTTCAGGGAAGATCCAGTATCTAGATTCTCCTCCCCGTGTTCAATCTTCAGGGGAGATCCAGTATCTAGATTCTCCTCCCCGTGTTCCATCTTCAGGGGAGATCCAGTATCTAGATTCTCCTCCCCGTGTTCCATCTTCAGGGGAGATCCAGTATCTAGATTCTCCTCCCCGTGTTCAATCTTCAGGGGAAATCCAGTATCTAGATTCTCCTCCCCGTGTTCAATCTTCAGGGGAGATCCAGTATCTGGATTCTCCTCCCCGTGTTCCATCTTCAGGGGAGATCCAGTATCTAGATTCTCCTCCCCGTGTTCCATCTTCAGGGGAAATCCAGTATCTAGATTCTCCTCCCCGTGTTCAATCTTCAGGGGAGATCCAGTATCTAGATTCTCCTCCCCGTGTTCCATCTTCAGGGGAGATCCAGTATCTAGATTCTCCTCCTCGTGTTCCATCTTCAGGGGAAATCCAATATCTAGATTCTCCTCCCCGTGTTCCAATTTCAGGGGAGATCCAGTATCTAGATTCTCCTCCCCGTGTTCCATCTTCAGGGGAAATCCAGTATCTAGATTCTCCTCCCCGTGTTCCATCTTCAGGGAAATCCAGTATCTAGATTCTCCTCCCCGTGTTCCATCTTCAGGGGAGATCCAGTATCTAGATTCTCCTCCCCGTGTTCAATCTTCAGGGGAGATCCAGAATCTAGATTCTCCTCCCCGTGTTCCATCTTCAGGGGAGATCCAGTATCTGGATTCTCCTCCCCGTGTTCCATCTTCAGGGGAGATCCAGTATCTAGATTCTCCTCCCCGTGTTCCATCTTCAGGGGAGATCCAGTATCTAGATTCTCCTCCCCGTGTTCCATCTTCAGGGGAGATCCAGTATCTGGATTCTCCTCCCCGTGTTCCATCTTCAGGGGAGATCCAGTTTATTGCAGATTTACCCCAAGTGGAGTCAGTCACACTTAGAGCTTCGGAGAAGACTTTGCGGCGAAGCTATAACCTGACAGTCTGATTTGGGAAGTTTCCACGGATGGTAGACTTTTGCTACCCCCTCATAGGAGGTCAGTGGACTTTGCGGCGACTGTGGAGAAAATCGGATCGGCGCCAGTCGTCAGATCAGCGCCAGGCATCATCGGTGCCAGTCGTCAGGTGAGGTGAGGTGAAATTGGGTTTAACGTCGTACTTGAGAATATTTCGCTCATATGACGACGTGCATGCGTGTGTGTGTGTATGTATGTGCGCCTGCTTGTACTAGCCCAGACTGAAGCTGGTTTTATAGCGCTAGCCCACTGAGATACCATGCCGCAGTGAAGCATGAATACCCCACTCAGACACATTATACTGATTCCGAGCCGACCAGTCCCTGTTGTACCCAGTAATGCCGAGCGCCAGGCAGGGACCAACAAGTACCATATTTTAACGTCTTTGGTATGACGCAGTCGGGGATCGAACCCGCGACCTTCCGCTCTCCGGGCGGACGCTCTAACCACTACATCAGTCGGTCGCCAGTCGTCAGATCAAGGCTAGGCTTCGGTACGTCTCCACCTTTGAACACTTGGCCAATAGAGGCAACCCTAGCACTAGACAAGCAGTTTCAAGCTAGGTGCCAACTTCAATTGCTTGTAGTTAAAAAAGCCATTGAAGTCCAAAGTCCCGATATCACTCACGGGTTTTACAGTCCAATCTTCTTCATTCTGCTGCCATTTGCATGGCCCGTACCTATTTTTCAGGGTGACGCAACCTGTAAGGCACTATCTGCACATGGTCGCGTCCCCTAGGGAATCTACCTGGACGACGGATTTGTGGCGCGACTTTGCCTGTGGTTGCTTGTCAGACAGAGAGACTTCGTCCTCAGTCTTTTTCATCGAATGGGGTTGCTCATCAATTTGGACAAATTGCACCTCACTCAGTGTCTGTCAATCGTCTTCATCGGGGATCACTTCCGGACGGACCTCGGTCGTCTGGTATTTCCCCAAGAGAGGCTTCACGCCTACCAACCTCTGACCAAACGGTGCTTCTCACCTCCCTTAGGGTGAGATGGTGGCAACGCCTATCAGGTCTTCTCACCCCCACTCAGGATCTGATGTCCCTTGCACCGCAGTCTCCACCAGTACACACATACGCTGCAAGTGATACTGTCAGTACTTTTGACAGAGGGAAGGGCATTCAAACTTCTTGTCAACAGCAAGGAATATCAAGAGGCTTTCCAACAACTTGTTTGATTGACCCACTTCAAGCATTCATATGTCTCCTGTATGCTTCAGGTTCTTAAATATGGGATATCACTCAATTGTGCTACCACCTATTTGAAGTGAGAAAAGGGACAATTGTCACCCTGCTTTATTGTCTATACATGAACATCCTGGGAGCAAACTATCAAGCTTCAATATGGTACAACTGTCTGGAAGCTGAATTTCAAACTCCTCAGGCAACAGATGGTCATGGATGGTTGTAAGAAAATGGTCACATATAGATTTGCTGGATGACAACACCTCTTGCTCCAGATGCTGTTCTTGAGTTCCATTCTTGCAAGTGCACAACAGTCTGTAAGCCAAGTTGTCATTGCCTTACCAATGGACTGAAATGCACTGTGACAGGTCGGAACTAGACTTGTGACAACATGGTATGCGAGGACCATGACATGCCGAAGAGTGACTCTGATGATGCAGTTGATGTTTATGATGCAGAACAGTGACGATCATTAACCAACTTAAGGAACTTGATGACGTTTTCCTCTTTGAAACTAAAGAGCTGTCTTCAGAATAAATGAAATGATGGGTTTTCGAAAAGGTTTTTTGAACTTACAATTTTTACTCTTATAAAATCAGGAAAAAAGATATGATTTAAAGGTATCAAATAAGGCAACTTGATATTCATTAAATCTTTTTAATTAAATTAATTAAATCTTTAGCACTGTTTTACCTCTCTGTTTTAATTTTCAACCTATTTGTTGAACTTTACTCCCGATTAGAGCTTGGAATTGACATTTTTTTTTCATTTTTTTTTTTTTTGGCGGCCATCTTGAATTTAGCCTCGTTCTGAGTTTGAGCTACCAAACCGACATGGCCATCATACGTTTTTGATATGTAGAGACCATAACAACTTTAAAAAACATAAAAGTGTTTGGTCCCTCTGAGTGGTACCAGAAAACTGTCTAGCTCATGGCCTACACTGTCGACATGTTCCGAGGGTGAAGTCAACAGAAACACGACACGAAAGGACGACAATCATAAATGCATACGAGGCAGCCGAACTACCTCCTCCCAGGGCGAATAACCCTCATGAAATACGTATTTTGGATTCTACAATGAATTGTTCAATTCCTAAGATTATGGAGGACTCTTTTAGGAAGTCAAACACAGTTTCCGTCATGTGGCAGTCGAGGATGTTGAGGGGCCTCAGAGATTTGGACCTCTAGTGGTCGCACAATACCTGATGCAACCTTCTAATCAGTAAGGTAAGATATGTTGTTCTCTCCCTTTGGTGTTTGGGTGAATTAGATAAAAGGACAATCGTGGACACGCCTCACCTATTGTTTCCTTTATTCGTTTCACTTTCATGGTCTTTGTTTTGCTTGCAGACCCCTAAGCATTCGCTGTTGAATTGAGTCTGATCTACTGGTCAAGCCAACTGGGCCAACAGCAGTTAGAACGGACCAAGTTCCAGTCTGCTGGATAAGATGCATAAGATGATAAGAGGTAAGTTAAAAATTTAGTAAAATAAGCATTTTAGATACTTACATACTTACCTCTTATCATCAAGTCTGATGTCCACCCGAGATGCCTCTATCTCCTAGCTATCATCATTCTACCCTTCGTTCTTTACACAAGGAAGGACTTTTACCACCTGGTCACTTGATCGACTGCCGTGATCTTTCTAGTCTGTCTCACAGCCCCTGAACCACATTATTGTCCCTACTGCCAAACCCTATCTAGAGTGCTAAAGCCCTAAATAAAGCAAGTCCAGATTTCCTCAGGTTCTGAATCTCTGGTCTCCCTGGGGCTCCTTTTCAATTTAAATGGGCTTGTTTTTTACTATCAAAATCATATATATTCAGAGATTAAGCGTCTCTCAATCGAACCACCTTCCATAGTCTGTTTCGAAGAGTAAGGTAAGTATGCATAAAACGATAAGAGGTAAGTACGTAAATATCTAAAATACTTAGATTTTACCAATTTCTTATTTTCTATACTTACCTGCTTCACAAGTAAGTATCCCGGTGTCAGGAGTTTTCGACGATGTAAGACAAAAACGTATTTTTTATCTGTAATATCATTTAAAGTTTGTATTTTACTAACCTTGAGTGATAAAGGATAAATTCATCTATTTCACACAAAAATATCAAGTATTCCCTACACAAATAGCGTTGATGAAATCGTATCGGCGAAACTGTTGCCACTCGTAACATCAGGGTATTTTGTATGGGTTTTCGACGATGAGCAATACTTTTGTGGGACAGAAAGTATGCTTCTAGGGAACTAGAAGGAAAATGTTCGTTGTGAAACAGGTAAGTATAAAAGATAAGAAATTACTCTAAATGTTCCAATTGTTTTCTCTTCTAGGTCAATATGGGATAGGGATAAAAACTTCGTTTGACGATGCTTCACTGACTGATACTGAAATATCCCATTGCTGCATTCACAAATGTTAATGACAGTATGGCTTATTTGTGTACAGGTTTATGTGTTATAGCAGATGGAATGCAAACATGTATTGATAGTAAACGTAAAACTAGTAAGTATAGGAAAGAATAGGAATTATCTTTCTTTCCAACAATATCTGGATGCTAGAAACAAATATAATGCAAGCTATCAAGTTAAAAAAGAGGCATACCATAAACATAAACTGCATATGTTAGAAGAGTCACTTGATTAAAAAAAATGCGACTAAAACAGTTAATGAAGCATTAAAAAGTTATTAGAAAAATATGGAAAATATTTTTCCAAGTCAAGAGTTTCAGGCCAATTTTAAAACTATATTCGGGTGGTCAGGCTCGCTGGTTCGGTTGACACATGCCATGGGTTTCCATTTGGGCAGATCCATGCTCATGCTGTTGGTAACCGGATTGTCTGGTCCAGACTCGATTATTTACAGACCGCCGCCATATAGCTGGAATATTGCTGGGTGCGGCGTACAACTTAACTCACTCACTCACTTAAAACTATATTCAATCTCTCAGTTTCTGAGGTTGAAGATAATGGTAACGGGTTCAGGTGTTTGATGTTATCATGGGCACTGACGTTAAGAGGACAATACCACACTGACGTTAAGAGGACAATACCACACTGACGTTAAGAGGACAATCCCACACTGACGTTAAGAGAACAATACCACACTGACGTTAAGAGAACAATACCACTGATATTCTACATACAGTAATTTCAGAGTTTAAGAACAGATGAAGGATAATGATAATTATAAAACTGTTTGTCATGTATGCTGAAGACGTGCTCACGCCTTACCTACGAGTAATATTTACCACAATGCCAGAATATACACCAACACTTATCTCTGGCTCAACTTTCTTAAATACCCAACACGTCTGATAAGAGAAATGGACCTGTCATTTGAAACAACAGAGATTGACATAAGAT